AGCCCCTGGCAGCGGCGCGGGGCGGCGTTGCCGGCGCGCCCAGGGGCGGAGCCGGCGCCCGCAGCGCGGGCAGAGCCCAGCAAGTGGGAGGGGCGAAAGCGGCGGGCGGCGGGCGGACCAAGCCCGCGCGGGAAGGGCTGGGGGGCGGCAGCCGGGCGGGCGGCGGGCTGGCCAGGTCAGCGCGGCGCAGCGACCGCTGAGACAGCCGCGAGGGAGCTGGCCGACGCGGCCAGGCGCGGCAGGCGCCGGGGGGGCTGAGCGACAGGAGGCAGCCAGGCGGCGCGGGCCCAGCCAAAGGGCGGAGAGGCATGGGGGGGCGGAGAAGCAGAAGCCTGCCCAGCGCCGGCGCGCTCATCACGAACGAGGACAAGGCGGCGCCAAGCGCAAGTGGGGCATGGGCGAGGGCCCCCACCAAGCAAGAATGCAAAAACGAAGGGGGAGCCGCAATGGCGGCGCCCCCAAGCTTGGCAGCACGCGCTGCCGCCAGGGGCGGCGGCCAGCCTGCAGAGCCGAGAGGCAGATGGGCAGCGACCGCTCCGCGCCGCCCATCGAGGCCCAGGGCGGCAGCGCTAGACGGCGGCCACCGACAGCGGATTGGACGGGCACGGCGCCGGGGGGCGGCCGCGACACCGCGGGGGGGGGGGCGGCCCGCGGCCGGCGCCATCGAGGCCAACGGGCGGGGAGGCCCAAGACGCGCGAGGCGCAGCACCCGGGTGGGCTGCTGCGCCCGCGCGCAAGGGAGCGCAACTCCAGCTGGAAGCTGCGCGGGGAGGCGCCTGCAGGACAGACGGGCATTGGCCAGCCAGCGGCCTGGGCCAGGTAGGGGCGCGCCGCTGGAGAGCCCCCAACCGCGCGGACACGCGAGAAGTGCCGGGGCAGGCTGCCGACTGACAGGCGGGGCGCGAAACCGTCGACGCACCACCCAGGGCGGGAAGCGCGCTGGCATGGACGCGCCGAACTGGCGCGCAGACAAATGAAAGAGACGCAGGCACCTCCCAGGGTGGAAGGCGCCACGCAATCGGCGCTGCCCAGGTAAGTCGCAGTCGCATCGAGCGGGCCAGGTAGCGACGGGCAACCGTCGCCCGTTCTCCTTCGAGGCCGCGCAGCCAGGACTAGCCCCTTCAGCTGCGACGTTTGCCTCCCTATCCCTCCCCAGTTGCCTGGATCTGGCGGCCCCGCTGCCGCTGCCATCGCGCTGCGCCCCAGTCGACGCCCAGGTTGCGGCTGCCGCACAAGGCTCGGGCGTCGCAGTTGGCGTCGGCCAGTTCGCCCAGGAAGGCTCGGCTGAATTCGTCGCAGGCGTGGGAGTCGCGGGCCCCCTCGCCGCGGGGCTCGCCGCCCCGGCGTCGCAGGCTCTGCTCCGCCCCGTTCGCGAAGATCGCGCCGCGGGCAGCTTTCAAGCGGCTGGCGACCTCGGGCCAGGTCTCGAGTCTACGCTCCGCATCTTTCCACTGAGGCGCCCACTGGACGTTGCGTCTGGGCGTCTAACAAAAGCGATCCCGGGGGGCATCTCATTCCTTCCGCCCACGGGCCCCCCCGGCTGCCCCCCGCGCGCCCCGGCCCCGCGACCGCCCCCGATGGGCGCCTCGCCCCCGGGAGCTCCACTGAGACCGACCGCCGGCCGACACGGACTCATGCCGAATCGAAAGTCGAGGCCCCCACGCTGCCCCTGCTTCTTGCCGCTCATCTCTGGGAGAGGGGCGGGCGGCGGCAGCCGCTGAGCGCGGCGATTTGGCCGGGGCCGCTTCGCTTCGCCCAAGGGGCCTCTCCTGAGGGGCCATGCCAGGTGGGCGCTGCTGGGCCTGCCCCTGATCGTCAGCCAGAACGCAATGACTCGCACGCATATAGGCGCTGTCAATTGCCCTGCGAACGCCCCCCGGCGCCCCCGCGGAAGACGCAGTCTCCCGGGCCAACGACGGGGGCAGGCCCCCAGTGAATTCCCGAAGCGCTGGGCCACGCCATGGGGGGCAACCTCGGCGCATCACGCGGCCGCCGCTCAGGCGCGCGCCCCCGTCGGAGCTAGGGGCGCGCTCATCAGGCTGCCCCCTGGGCGAAGACAGGGGGCGCGCGCCGGCTCTGCAAGGGGCGCCGCCCCAATCTGGAGCGAACGCCGCGCATCGAGCATGCAACGCTGCCTCTCCCATGGGCCAGACGCAGCGATGCAAACTGCCAGTCCCCCACTGCGGCAGAGGGGGCCCCGCCAGGGTGAGCGCCAGTCATGGGGGAGAGGGGGGAAGAGGAGCAGGAGGAGAAGGGAGACATGACCAACGCGTCGCATGGGCAGCCCCGAAAGCTCTGCCAGCCATTTCCCACGAACACACAACGGACGCAACGGAGGAGGACAGCAGACAGGAGGACGTTCAAAGAGGCAGGAGAAAAGCAGATGGCGACTGAGACGAATTACCCCCACAACGGAAAAGGCCCAGGTTGCCCATGCGCAATGCGCCGTGGCTCCTACCGCAATGCCCAACGGGCCACTGCAATAAACCCAGTACAACATTTAATGTATACTATAACTGCTGACGATGGCGCGGCCAGGTGATATCGGCGCGGGCCCGGCACGAAGAACACTGTGAACCAGCCCGCGCTTCTTGCCAGATCGATGCCCTCAGCCCATCCTGACGCACCCATTAACCACGCGTCGCGTTTCTAGGTTCGGCAAGACATGCTCACGCGAGCAGCCGATTGTCGTCGAGGCGGTGGAATAAATCTGGGCGCGGACGCCCACGGGCCCCGACTCGGCAGCAATCCTGCCCAGGCGTGCCGCTGGAGGCGCAACTTAGCGCGCGTGGCCATCATCTCCGAACAGACATATGATAAGAAACCCTGTTTAGCCGAGATGCTTGACGTGAAGATCCAATACATGATACCACCCTGTGCTCGTCCGACAACGACTTTCAGCCTGATCTAAGTAGAGGTGAGCCAATTTGGCGACGCGTTGGCAAAAGTGCTGGCTACAAACGTGTGCACACC